TGAAACCCCCATCTCCAACCACCCCCCTACAGACCATATACCTCTCACCTCAAAAAACCAACAATCATCCACCCCTTGTTACCCAAACCCTCAAGAAGAACTCCTTGAACTTGAAACCTTTCTTCATAAGGAAATTTGGGACATCTGGAAACACACAAATTTTCAATCCAAAGATGACTCCCTCTCAACCAATCCAGCCACAAGTTCTCTGTTAGCTACCTCTCGGATGAAGATTTGCCCATCTCAAAAGATCCTCAATCTCCTCAGAACCACTCAATTCTGCAAGAAAAAGATGTTTTCACCACAGTTAGCAGGAGAACTTCAAAAAGGTTACAAGAAAAACTTTCAGCAAGCAGTTCTTTCCCAAACAGTTTTTAAATGAATTGCTTATTTTGGAACATCAATGGCATAGCCTCTAAACTCTAGAGACTAGCCATCCTCATCCAGCAACACAAAGTATCGTTTGCTTTCATCATTGAACCCAAATCCTCCATCAAGAAAATCATCAAGTTCCAACTAGAACTTGGATTCACTAACTCCATCAGCACTTCCAACAACAAAATCTGGTTAATGTGGAAGGACACCTGCTTCAACTACATAAACCACTTTGAAACAGATCAAATCCTCACTGCTCACCTAACTTGCCACACTTCAAACCTGGAAATCTTCATCAGTGGCATCTATGAAAAACACACCATTGAAGAAAGAAAAGATTTTTGGGGTTCAATCATGGCTCACAGCAAAAACGAGACTCAGGCCTGGATTCTTGGAGGGGATTTCAACACCATCACCTCTTTGGACCACTATAAAGGCAAAAGCTCCCCCAATCTGCAAGGTATCCAAGAATTTGATCACTGCATCATGGAAAGTGGTCTCATTTCTCCCCCATTCTCAGGCAACCCCTTTACATGGACTGTAATCAGATCCTTAGGCAGAGTCTGGAAAAGGCTAGACAGGGTTTTTGTTAACAATACCTTTCTAGACAATTTCCAAGAGATTAACTCCATGCATATTTCGAGGGGAACTTCAGATCACTGTCCTATTTTGGTAAAAGCTTCTAACCCCACTTTTAATGGTCCAAGACCATTCAGATTCCTCAACTGCGGGCCAAATCACCCTACCTTTAAAGCTCTCATAAGCAGAAACTGGGGCAAATACTCTGGAGGAGGCATGAGGGGTCTTATGAACAAATTGTTCAATCTTAGAAAGGAACTTCATACTTGGAACAGGACAGTCTTTGGGAATGTTTTCAGCAAAACAAAAGAACTTGAATCCTCAGTGCTTGAAGCAGAACTTCTTTATGATGAAAATCCCTCTACTGAAAATAGATCCCATCTTCATCAACAAAAAGCACTTCTTATTCAAGCAACAAATAATGAGTTCTCTTACTGGAAGCAGAAAGCAAGCATCAAATGGATTAGAGAAGGAGACTGTAACACCTCCTTTTTCATTCTATTGTTAAAGAAAGAAGGATTTCTCAAAAGATTCATAAAAGCAGGTCTGGGGATGGTCAGTGGATTCAAGACAAGGATGACTTGCTTAAAGAGGCCGGCCAACTTCTATTTCCAGCAACTCTACTCTAAAAAGGACAGTGAAAATACTGAGGATTTCCTCTCACACATCCCAAACCTCCTCACTATTGATGACAACAATCTGCTTACCCAACTCCCTAATGAGAAAGAAGTCAAAGATGCCATCTGGAATCTGGACCCCCAAAGTGCTGCAGGCCCTGATGGATTCACTGGAGAATTCTACAAAAGTTGCTGGGATATTATCAAAGAAGATGTGGTAAAAGTAGTTCAGGAATTCTTTCTAGGAATCCCTACTCCTAAAAGTTTAAATGAATGCTCCATTATCCTGATCCCAAAGAAAGATAATCCCATCACCTTTGAAGATTTCAGGCCTATTTGTCTTTCAAATTTCATAGCCAAAGTCAATACTAATGTTATGTCTCAGAGATTAAGAAACTTACTTCCTAAATTAATCTCTGAGGAACAGGGTGGCTTTGTCAAAGGAAGGCAGATCCATGACCAAATTCTGATTGCCCAGGAGATCATCCAGAACTTGGACTACAAGACAAGGGGAGGCAATATTGCCATTAAGCTGGACATGTCCAAAGCTTTTGATAGGGTATCTTGGGACTATTTACAAGCCGTTCTAGGGAAATTGGGGTTTGATCATAAATTTATCAATTTGATCCTCAATAATCTTAAAGACACTACCCTCTCCATCAACATAAATGGCTACCCTTCCAAACCCTTCCAACCCAAGAAAGGGCTCAAACAAGGAGACCCACTCTCCCCACTTCTTTTCATTTTGGCAGCTGAAGGATTTAGTAGGGGCCTGAACTACAGAGTCAACACTCTAAAGATTGAACCTTTTAACATGGGGAGACACTCACAAATCATCTCTCACCTATCCTTTGCAGATGACCTTCTGATCTTTCTTAAAGGAACAGCTCAAAATTTGGCTAGATTCTCAAATTTCCTAAAAGCTTATGAAGATGCTTCAGGGCAGACCATAAATCTTCACAAAAGTTTTTTCTACCCTCCAAAGAAAACCCAAGTGGCACAAATCAACAGAATGGGAAATTACTTGGGCATGAAGAGAGGTTCCCTACCTTTCAAATACCTGGGAACCCAAATCCACAAAGGAATCAACAGACTCAAATATTGTACTGATTTGCTCAACCACTTTGATACAAGCTTTACAACCACCTTTACAAGCTTAAAGGTTGGTACAAAAAATTCTTATCACAATGAGGGAGAACGATTCTAATTAAGCATGTTCTTAGTTCTATCCCTCTACATCTCCTTGGCTCTTCTAAACTCCCCAAGAGTGTTATCAACTGCCTTCACACTAAGATGAGCAATTTTCTATGGGGCAACAAAGAAGGGAAAAATCATTATCACTGGAAGAAGTAGGCTGCATGCCCTTTGCTGCCCAAAAGAGGAAGGAGGTCTGGGTTTCACTAACCTTGAAACCTTACAAGAAGCATATGGTCTTAAGATGTTGTGGAGCTATACTCTCAATAACTCCCTCTGGGCCAGGTTTATGCACAACAGATACCCAGCAGGTCTGGAGACAACTTGCAAACCTACTGATTCTCCTAATTGGAAGAGACTCCTTTCAGCAAAAACCATCGTTGATTCCTATGAGAATAACCCCTTCTGGGACACCCACTCTGGTTTTATTATCAGGAAAGCCTATGAAGCTCTGAGAGAGAAATCCCCCACAGAAACATTCCTAAAATCTGTGTGGCATAAAAAACAGATCCCATCTATTTCTATCTTCCTTTGGAAAATCTACTACAACATCCTCCCTTTCCCTAAACAACTCACCCAGTTTGGGCAAAACCTTCCTTTTATGTGTCTTTTTTGCAGGAACAATGAAGACAATGCGAACCACACACTCAAGGATTGCAGATTCAGTAAAAATATCTGGGCACACTTTGAATCTAGTTTCAAGGTCACGACAACTACAACACATGGAATTTGCTCTTACCTGTCGCTCTGGTGGAGGAGCAATAGTGTTGACCAGCAAAGTCAAGCAGAACGCAAGGTGATTCCAGGCATCATAGCGCACGAAATCTGGAAGGAGAGAAACAAAAGAACTTATGACAACGAATCAAGAACCGAAACCCAAATCATCCATATGATCTGGAAAAAGTTGCTGGAATGGACAATTGTAAAAGGAAAGAGGAGAATCAGCGTCACTCACTCGTCCATCCCATTCATTTCATTACCGGCAACTCACACCTTCCCCTGGACAAGCGCAAGGGAAGGGCTGATACTTAGTACAGATGTTGCGGTGAAAGATGATATTATGTGTGGCGGAGCAATCCTACGCATAGGCACAGGAAGATTCATTGGAGAAAAGTCAGCAATAATCCAAGGAACAGAAAACAGTGAAGAAGGAGAATTGGCTTCTGCACTAATGGGCCTCAAATGGGCTGTTAGTATCACAACACAACCCATCAACATCCACTTAGATGCAAAAAATGCGGTGAAACGAATCACGGAGAATAAACAGGAGGACCTTTTTAGTAACGAGATTTATCAGTTGCTGGCAAAAAATAGAGGTCTAGCAACACATATTTTCAGAGAGGAAAATACGGCAGCTCACTCTCTCGCACGTTACGCTCTCACAAATAACTTGTTTCGATCATTCAATGTATTAGCACAGTTACCTCCATCTGTTAGAGGGGCGATCCACTGTGACCCCTTTTGTACCTTTATTCGAATCACTTAATAAAATTTTCTTTCAATATATATATATATATATATATATATATATATATATACACACAGATATATACATATATATATATATATACATATACATATATATATATATATATATATATATATATATATATATCCAGCTTTCATTTCGTGTTCCAAAGCTGATGAAAGGCTTGTGGCGGAGTTTCTAACAGAGGAGCATGCATGTTGAAGAGTCACAAGATAATTTTGGTTAAAGTTTAGTCTTATTTATTCGACTTAGTTACGTGTTTTGCTGGTTGTCCTTAGTAGATCAAGCGAGGGCTAAATGAAGCAGGGTTAATCTTGCACTTTCTAGGGGTTTAGAGAAATGGGTTTTCAAGGTTTTATAGCAGATTAGGAATTATGCTTTAGAATTTGCCATAGGGTTCTGGTTTTTTTTAGACAGGGTTGGGGGCTAAAATGAATGGTATATGGACGCTAATACTGGTTGTGATCTGGGGGTAGATGAACTGCTGGATGACCAGCCACGGAAGCAGTTTAGGGGTTTTAATAGGGATGCAGTTGGAGTCCTGCATCTTTATCTCCAGCTCCTCTTTTAATTTTAGTCTGTTGTCAGCTTCTTCTTTTAGTTTAGTATATGGAAGTCCTTCTTGTACTCTATTTGTTGGTTTTGGTTCCCCTTTTGGCCTGTTGTCGGGTTGGCCACCCCCTGTACCTTTCTTTTCCTTTAATAAAATTTTCCTTTTTATATTAAATATATATATATATATATATATATATATATATATATATATCCTATCAAAGAAAATGCTCTCTCTCTCTAGATCTCTCCACGGCTAGGGTTACGCCGACCGCCGCTATGGCGGTCCGGCGACCATCTTCAATACATGACCACCCCTCTCCCTCAACCTCCCAAGAACCGCAGCTTCAACGACATAGCTCTCAAAGGCGACTTCAAACCAGCGACAAAATTCAAAGGGCAACCGGCCATCTCCTTCTCAGATGACGACATCAACAATTTGTCTGCTAGGTTTGTTCGCACAATTGTGGGACGTTTCACCAAGGGCAGACCTTGCCTAATTTCAATCCGTAAGGCCTTTGAGCGAATCGCTTTTGAAAAGAATTTTACTGTAAGTTTGCTTGATGAAACTCATATCTTAATCAATTTCGAATCTGAGAACGATTTTCTGAGATGCTTGGTGCGAAAATACTGGAAGATTAATGGTTTTGTTTTGAAAGTGTTTCGCTGGACTCATGATTTTGACCCTGCCATTGATTCCCCTCTAATTCCGGTTTGGATTAGTCTTGAAGGTCTTCCAATTCATCTCTTTGACTCTCTGGCTTTGTATTCCATTGCCAATTTGATTGGTAAACCTCTGAAAACAGATGCTGCAACAGCAAGCCTGTCAAGGCCATCTGTTGCTCGTATCTGTGTCGAGGTTGATACCATCAAAGACCTGCCCAATGGTGTCTGGATCCATCTTGGCCAACTTACATTTCACCAACCAATCATTTATGAAGATCTTCCTGAATATTGCCCCTCCTGTAAATCTTTTGGACATAAAAATTGCAAAAAGGCCACAACCTCTAGATGGGTGGTGAAGGACACAACAGGGACTGCAAATATAGCACTTGCTGTAGCCGTCCCTCCGTTGTTGCTCCATAATTTGTAGCTGGTGGATAAGCAAGATGATGCTCTGAATCATGATGGTCCAAAAGAGAAAGAGACAACTGTTATGGAAACTTGCTCCTCTGCCTAGGCCGAAACACACTTGGTACAATCTTTCCAGGTTGGAACACACTTGGAACAATCTGTCCAGGTTGAAACACACTTGGTACAATCTGTCCCAAAATCTGATGCCAATGGGTTGGAACAGATATTAGTTCCTGCAGCTGAAACCTCTGAATCTGAAAACGAGGAACAATCTGCTATAGATACAGCTACACATAAGGCAAGTGTTGAAGCTTTGGCAACCACCATTGATAAGGGTAGGGATGCTGAGGCTCCCGCGCCAACTGACAGTGCTGAAAACAAAGGTGTGTTGGTTGAGATTGAACTCCAAGTTATTGAGGATGCTTTTCAGAACAACAAAAATCCTCCTAACAATGACCCTAATTTCGGGGCTGAACAAAGCTGTGAGGCACACAAACTGTCCCCTAAGACAGATTTGGAAGGCACACAATATGAAGAAGAATTCCTGCCTCTCTGTAAAGAGTCTGTAACTGCTACGACGGATGATTTTCCAGCCCAAAATCAAGGTAGTGATGCACACACTCTTTCCCTCGAGAAAGAGATGGATGGCACACTATCCCCTTCAATGAATGGAGATGAGATTTCTGATCCTACACATACCACAAATATTCCCCCATCTATAACTAACTATGCAGGTTATGACTCAATTACTATTGGACCAATTCTTCAGTCTTTTGAGGTGGATGGCGAACATTATGAAATTAAGTCCTACGTTGAAGAAGCGGAGACAAGTAATCAAAGGGAGGAGCCTAACTTCCAAGATGTCCAGAGCAGACGCAGCAAAAAAGCGGGGAAGAGGGGAACTACACCAAGGACGATTAAAACCAGAAGCTACGATCCAAACCTTGAAGTTGGAACGGTGAGCGAGATCACTAGATATTGGCCTAGCCGCAAATCAACTACAATGGAGAAAATTGTCACTACCGAAAGTTACTCTGGGCCCTTTTGGTACGTTGGACCCGTCGGCCCAATTGGGGCAGATGGGAAAAGGCCAAAGAAAATAAGGCCCAAAAACCTCGCTTTGGATCAGCACCCGGGTTTTATAATTTGGGAATGACCATCTGTTTATCTCTCGTTTCATTTCTCATTCAGTTTTCCTTTTCGTGCATTTCTAGAGGGTCATTGGCCTAGTCCTCCCCTCCCTGTACCTTTCTTTTACTTTTTTAAAATAAAATTTTCGTTTATTAATATATATATATATATATATATATATATATATATAAAATTTAGATTTCTTATGTGTTATTGAACCTCTCGTCCATCCCTCCCAGATTCAAACCTACATTCTTCACCTAGGTTTTACACATCACCTCTTGTCCCAAAGCAACAAAATTTGGATTTTCTGGAACTCTCTTTCCCTTACCCTTCTGTCATATACAGAAGTTTCCCAAGTTACTCATCGTGAATTCTCTTTGAACACCAACTCCCCCCCTTGGTGATCTCCTCAGTCTATGGTTCCCATTCTGTTGCAGAGAGGAAAGCTCTTTGGTCAAATTTACAAAATTTTCATCCCTTGGCAAAAAGATGGATTATAGGTGGAGACTTTAATGCCATCACCTCACCCATTGAATCCAAAGGCAAATGTCTACCCAACCTTCAGAGTATGGAGGATTTCTTGAACTTCATAAACAACTGTAACTTGGTCTGTCCAGAGCTAAAAGGTTCCTTATTCACTTGGTCAGGAGTTAGAAGTCAGGGCAGGACCTGGCGCAGAGTTGATAGAGTCCTACTCAATCTGGACACCATGGCTTCTTTTGAGGATCTGGCCCTCACTCACTTGCCTAGAGCCAACTCTGATCATAAACCCTTACTGCTTTCCTGCCTGGACACACCCCCTTCTGGTGCAAAACCATTCAAATTTCTTAACGCCTGGATGCAGCATGATTCCTTCCTAGCCACTGTCCAAGCTTCTTGGAGCAGCACTCCCACTATTGGAGGTATGAGAGGTCTGGTTTTAAAACTGAAAACCCTTAAACTGGCTCTTAAGGATTGGAACTCGTCCCATTTTGGAAATATCTTCCTTAAACTCAAAGAAGCAGAGGAAATTGCATCCAAAGCCCAAGAAACCTATGAGCTAGACCCTTCTGACCTCAACTGTGAAGGGGCCCAACTTGCAAATGCTCAACTTATTCAAGCCGTCAACAGAGAAGTGTCTTATTGGAAACAAAAAGCAAATGTAAAATGGCTGGAGAAGGGAGACACCAATTCTAAAGTCTTTCAAGCTTTTGTTGGGGGGAAGAGACAAAGGCTGAATATCAATCATATCATTTCTACCGAGGGAAGAGGTCTTTCTTCTGAAGATGATATCAAACAAGAAGCCATCTCTCACTTCCAAAAGGCTTTTAAATCCACTCCCTGTGGTAATATGGAGCCTATTCTCTCTACTATACCTGTAGTCATCACACAAGAAGACAATGCTTTCCTAACTTCCATTCCGTGTATGGAGGAGGTTAGGAATAGGGTTTGGAGTCTAGATGGAGACAGTGCAAGTGGTCCAGATGGGTACAATGGCAACTTCTTCAAAACTTTCTGGTCCATCATTAGACATGATATCCTCTTGGCATCTCAGGAGTTTTTCCTTGGGCTCCCTATTCCTAAAGGTTATGGCAGTACCTTTATCTCTCTTATCCCCAAGAAGGACAACCTTAAAACCTTTGATGATTTCAGGCCCATATCTCTCTCAACGTTCATGAGTAAAATTAACACCAAACTTCTTGCAAATAGGCTTAAAACGTTGTTTCCAAAAATCATCTCTGAAGAGCAGGCAGCTTTTCAAAAAGGAAAATCTTGTGATGATCACATCCTTCTGGCAAAGGAAGCGATCCATCACCTGGACAAAAAGACTTTTGGGGGGAATGTCATAATCAAGGTTGAAATGGCTAAAGCTTTTGACAGGATGGAATGGAGCTACATTGAACATATCCTAAAGGGCTTTGGTTTCTCTGATGGGGCCATCAGCATTCTCATGGCAAACCTTAAAAATACTTTCCTTAGTATCCTCCTTAATGGTGCACCAACTGGTTTCTTCAAGATGGAAAGGGGGGTGAAACAGGGCGACCCCCTTTCACCTCTATTGTTTATTATTGGGGGGGAAGGTTTATGCAGAATGATTAACAAACATATGTCTTTATATCTTATCAACAGGTTCAATGTGGGCAGCATACAGATGGTGAGTCACCTCATCTATGCAGATGATCTCATCATCTTTTCAAAAGGAGACATTAGAAATTTGCTGAAAATCAAAGCCATTCTAAGGGAATACTTCACAGCCTCTGGACAGGATATGAACAACAACAAGAGCAGATTTTACACCAGTTCACACACAAACCCTGTCCAGATTCATAAAATGGAGGAGGCTTTAAATATCAAGGCTGGCAAATTACCCTTCTCCTACTTGGGGGCAACCCTGTGCAAAGGGATACTCAGAAAAGAACACTGCAGCAAAATTGTGGACCACTTCCAAAAGCATTTAACTTCTTGGTACAGCAAAACCATCAACCAAATGGGCAGACTCGTCTTGATTAAACATGTCCTCTCTTCCATTCCTTTACACCACCTGGCAGTTCACCTTCTACCTTCGTCAATCACTTCTCACCTCAACTCCCTTATGAGAGTAATTACTTCTGGCGAAGCAAAATGGGTAACCCAATTATCACTGGAAAAGCTGGAGTTTCTTGTGTCAACCTAAACATGCAGGTGGGCTAGGTATCAGGGATCTGGAGACCATTCAAAAGGCCTACTCTCTCAAACTCTGGTGGAAAATTCACACAGACAGTGGGCTTTGGGCCACTTTTATGAGGAACAAATATCTTGCAGGCAATATCATGAGAGAAAGAATTATTGACTCCCCAACTTGGAAGAGGATATACAGGATTGACCACATCGCTAGGAAGCATTGGTCCTTAACAAACAATATTCCAGGCTAGGACGGGGGGACTTTCTCTTTAAAAAATGCTTTCAACTGCCTGCTTGAAGGTCAGACAAATCTCATTTCAGCAAAATTCATTTGGAATAAATCCCAAATTCCCAAACTCAGAACCTTCATCTGGAAATCCTTGTTCAACTACCTTCCCTTCCCCAAAAACCTTTGCAGATTCAACTACCATCTCCCCAGCATATGCCCTTTCTGTAAAGCCCATGAAGGCACTCAGGACCACTCTCTGTTAAACTGTGAGTACAGTAAAGGAATCTGGAGCTATTTTGCAAGGTTAGTTGATGACCCTCTCCTTCAAAATCCTCTCACTCTGCGTCAGCATCTCCTAGCATGGTGGTTTACGGGAAATCAGAACAGCTTCAAAGGTTACCTCAGATTTTTCATCCCTGCAATCATCACCTGGTCTCTATGGAAAGCGAGGAACACATACATCTATGAAGAAAAGCTCTTATCTAAGGCTACCATTACACAGCAGAGCTTCAAATTGATTCAGAGCTGGTGCTGGATAAACCAGAACCACAAACGGTTTGTCTTTAAAAAAGACTTCAAGGGTTGGGGATTGGACCATTTTTGGCGCACCGGGAAAAATCTAAAATCCTCATTTCTCATTTGAATGTTCCGTTTCCTCTTTCCTCTCTTTTTTGGACGTTGGTTGTTGTAACTCCTTTCCCTTCCTTCTTCTTAATAAAACTACCCCTTTCGTCAAATATATATATATATATATATATATATATATATATATATATATATATATATATATATATATATTAAAGGGGGGAGTTTTTATTGAATTTTAATAAAGGGTACAAGATTATCTAAAGCAGTTACAGAGGAAATAGTTCTAGGGAGAGCATCTAAATGATCAAAGGTAATAACATGGGAGTGCCGTGCTCCATGTTTTGCAAGTAGATCAGCTGCGCCATTAGCTTCCCTGAGAGTGTGGGAGGTACGTAGATTGAGGATTTTGATCTTTTCCTTGATGATTAGAAGAGCGTTTGACGTCGGGGTGCCTCTTAAATTCATAAGGAGCTCCAAACTGTCTGTTTCAACGACCATATTAGGGAGTCTGTAAACGTTGAGAGCATGCATCATCGCCAGAGTTTCTGTGGATAGTGGTGTTGCTAATGGTAGTGGAAAAGCAATGGCATGGATGAAATTCCCTTGATGGTCCCGTAGCACAGCTCCCCCACCGCAACACCGTGTGCTTGAGCTGCCATCAATGTTGAGCTTGTAGGAATAAGGATTTGGCGGGATCCATCGAATTAGCTTGAATGGTTTAATTGGTTTCCGTTGGATCGACTGAGGGAGCTGCATGCCTTTGTTTGCAAGGGACCATGCATTAAGGGTATGTTTGATCACTTCAATGGTTTTATCAAGATTAAACCGATCATGATTGTGTGTGACTCTGTTATAACCTTTCCATATTTCCCACGTAATGATTGCAGGAAGTATTCGTTTCACCTGGAGGAGATGGTCAGTTGGTGTTGTGGATAGCCACCACATGATCAAGTTGTGTTGGAAGGAGGAGTCAGTAAGCAGGGGTAGATGTAGAAGCTGTCCGAGGTTGTTCCAGACGTGGGTTGCTTTGGGGCATAACATGAGGCAGTGGAAGTCTGTTTCAATAGCATTCGAACAGAACATGCAAATGGACGGAAGATTGTAGCCAAGCTTTTGAAGGTTGTTTGCAAATGGGGTGGCTTTATTTAGGGCTTTCTAGAGGAATAGGTTGGCTTTAGGTATACCTTTTTTGGGCCATGGTATCTTCGCAGTGAGCGTGGAAGGGCCAGGTTCCTGCAACTTAAGAGTCACTTTTTTGAGCGAGAACGAGCCTTGGTTCCCTAACTCCCATGCAAGGACGCCGTTGTTGAAGGTTGAGTTAGAGGAACAGAAATCATCAACTTGGCAAATTCTCTTCCAAATCGGACTATCAATGATAATGGTAGTGAAGCATCCCCTACGATGGTATTTTTGCTTGATGAATGAGACCCAAGGAGAGTGGGTAAAGTGATATTTCCACCAAAGCTTACATCCCAAGGAGTGTTGGAGGAGGCGTAGATTCGGAATTCCCAGACCTCCTTCTTCCACAGGTTTGCAAATTTGTTTCCAAGAAATCCAAGCATGCTTAGAGCCATCAGTATTGTTTCCCCAAAAGAAGTGACTAAGTTTCCTTTCAATCCAGCATATGATCATCTCTGGTAGTTTTGAAGAGGACAAGGTGTGAAGAGGGAGGGTGGAGAGGACATGTTTAATGAGAGTAAGCCTGCCCGCCTGGGATAAAGTGTGCATTTTCCAGCTAGTTAGCTTGCAATCGAATTTCCTGAGTAAGTCCTGGCAGTATTGGGATCTGTTGATCCCTTTGTAAAGGGGGACTCCCAGGTAAGTGAAGGGAAGAGGGGCTATTTTCATCCCTAGACAGGTTGATTGGCGTTTGGTGTGGTTGGATGAGGGTTTGGGGGAGATGATCAGGCTTTTAGTGAGGTTGAGGTGAAGGCCAGTTGCTTCCTCAAACTTGGTAAGGAAACATCTCAATTTTTTGAGGTTAGGGAGTGAACCATTTGTGAAGATAAGCACATCATCTGCAAAGGTAAGATGGTTTACTGTTAGGATCCGGCCTGCGTTGAAGCCTTTAAGGTGGCCTGTGTTGTGGAGTTGGTTCAGAGATCTCGTGAGTCCTTCCATGGCGATGATGAAAATATAGGGGGATAAGGGGTCCCCCTGCCTAACTCCTCTCTTGGGGTTGAATGCTTTGGAGGAGGTGCCGTTGATGAGGGTGGAAACAACATTATGTTGGATGGAGTTGAGAACCAGGCCCCTGAAAGCTTGACAGAACCCAAATTTCTCCAAACATTTCTCAATGTAGTTCCAGGAGATATTATCAAAGGCCTTAGTGATGTCAAGCTTAAGAGCTAGGTTACCTCCCTTAGTTTTTCGGTCCAGCAGGTGAACAAATTCTCTTGCAAGAAGGATGTGGTCAGTGATATCTCTCCCCGGGACAAATCCACC